CGCTGGCGCGTGCGGAGGTGGCGGGGCGCGAGCTGCTCGAAAAGAGCGGCGCTCCACCTCTCCTTTCCTCTAGCCAAGGTGGGGCGGGGCGGTGGGGGGACGGGCGGAGGAGGCGTCTGCAGCGTGAACTTTTAGTGGGCCTGCGGGCCTCCAGGGATGGGGATCTGAGGGGCCTCATTTCGGAGAGGCTCCCCAAATGGTTCGGAGTGCCCCCCCTGGAGGCTGCGGCTGCAGTGTGGCACGACGTGGGGCAGGTCCTGATGCGTGCGCCCCCGAGTTGGAGGTGCGCATGCATCAAGACTTGGCTCGGGGGATGGGTCACTGACACCCGTCTCCAGAACCGGGACCGTAGATGCTGTCTGGGTTGTGATGCCCCAGATAGCCTGAAGCACTATTTCTGGTTTCAACACTTTCGTGAGCTGGTGCGGGTGGCCCTTGGTCGTCCGTTGCCCAGTGACCCGCTCTCTGCCCTTGCCCTCGTCGTCCCCGCGCTGGATTCGACTCGAGGAGTGGCGTTGATGTTCCACTTGCACCGTCTTCTCCATCTTGAGAAGCGCGAGGGCACCAGCGGAGCGGTTCCTGCCGCGGTCGCACGTTCGATCGCCAGGGCTGCGCGTCAAGCTGTGGACCTCCCTTCTGGAGGCAATTCGGCCCGAAGGGCCCGTCGGGTGGCTAGGTAAGGAGTTCAGACATTCCAGAGGACGCTCCGCCTCCGCCTCCTCCTCCTCCTCCTCCTCCTCCTCCTCCTCCTCCCCCTCCTCCTCCTCCTCCTCCACCTCCTCCTCCTCCTCCTCCTCCTCCTCTTCCTCCGTAGCCATTTTTGGCTCAGGCTACGGCTGGCCCCCCCTCCTGTGCGCGGGCGGCGCGGGGGCCGCGATGGCGCGGGCGCGCGCGCGTGGCCCGCTGGTGCGCCATGGGTTGCGCGTCGCCCACTGCGGCTCGGTGGCCGAAGCCGCGGAGCTGATGCTGTTGCTGGCGGACGGCGGCGGCGAGAAGGATTTCGCCGTCGAGACCTGCGGGCAGCCCCTGCGCGGCGCAGGGCGCCCCTTCGCCCTGGGCCGCAAGGCCACTTCTGAGGAGGTGCGGCGCGCTCTGGCCCAGGAGCAGCCCGCCTTGGCGAAGCGATGGTCGGCGTTTCGAGCGGGCCGGCGCTGGGCAGCCCATCCGGGCTCCTGCCTGCTCTCCGAGGTCTCCGCGGAGTTGGGCACGACCGCGAGGTCTTGGTCGAGGGCGCGCACGGCAACAACGACGAGGAGCGACTCGTCCTCTGCTTGGTCGTACTCTGAGGTGCCCAAGGAGTGCGCGACGGACTCCGAGGACGAGAAGGAGGCGAGGAAGTCCCTGGCGGCTCAGAAGAAGGGGGCTGGAGGAGCAGGTCTCCTAGAAGAGGGTGGTGCAGCAGGATGGGGCGTCTGTGGAGCATTGCTTCGTTGTCGGCCCTACCTGCACGGACTCCGATGTGCCGACGGAGATGGGGCCGACCTCTGAGGTCCTGGAGGATACTCGTTTCTACGGGCTGGAGACCGAGGCTGACCTTGAGAAGCCCCACTTCGGCAAGGCTGGCAAGGGATATGCGCTCACGGGCGTGCGCGGAGGTTGCCGATGAGGAGGACAGGGAGTTGAGGACCTCGGGTGACAAGGAGGAGCCCTTCAAGGCCCAGGTCGTCAAGAAGGCTGCTGCGCTGACGCAGGCGGCCACCGACCTCGAGATTGCCAAGGCCGCTTTGCTGCAGGCGGAGGCCACCTTCGACGAGGCAGCCGAGGAAGTATCCACGGCTCTTTCCCGTCTGGAGGAGAAGGTGCCGTCGACTCTTGCGCTGGAGCTCGGCTTCCTTCCCGTGAAGACAGAATTGACGTGGGTGCCGCGGAGGCCCGTGCCCTCCTGCGGCACTCCCGCTGCATGACGCGGAGGCTCGTGTTCCTCATGCGTCTTGCGCCCGCGGAGGCTCGTGCTCCTTTTGCGCGGCGCCCGAGCGGCCACGGAGGCTCGCGTTCCTCCGCGGCTGAGGTTTTGGCTTGGCGAGCGGAGGCTCGTTTTCCTCCGCCGCCGGGTTTTCGCGCTCGCGGAGGCTCGTGTTCCTCCTGCGCTGCGCTTCCTGTGCGACCGCGGAGGCTCGTGCTCCTCCGCGGCTGAGTGATCGGCTGAGTGGCTTCGCAGCATGATCCAGCATGCTCCTTCTCCTCCTCCTCCTCCTCCTCCTCCTTCTCCTCTTCCTCTTCCTTCTCTTCCTCCTCTCCCTCCTCCTCCCCCTCCTCCTTGTCCGTGTCCTTTTTCCTCCTCCTCCTCCTCCTCCTCTTTCTCCTCCTCCTCCTCCTCTTCCTCCTCCTCCTCCTCCTCCTCCTCCTTTTCCTCTTCCTCCTCCTCCTCCTCCTCCTCCTCCTAATCCCCCCCCCCCCCCCCCCCCTCCTCCTCCTCCGCCTCCTCCCAAGCCATTTCGCTCCCGAGCGCCCCCCCCCCCCTGCGCGGGGCGCGCAAGGGCGCTTCGCGGGCAAACTTCGAAGTGGCCTTGACCGCGAGAGCCTGCAGCACGAAGCGCGGTGCCGCACGTCACCAACTACAAAGTTGAAAGCAGGCGAGTGCGCACCAGCCAGGGGGCGTGGCGCGCTCGTTCCCCCCCCCTTCCCCCCTCCTCCCGCCCCCGACTTTTCGGCGAGCACCGGCGCCAGTTGTTGTTTCGCTGCCAAAGTGCAGGCGTGTATGGGGGAACGGAAGCTGGGGCAGCACGTCAACAGATCTGACGTTGGGCGTGGTGCGTGCGATAGCAGGCGAGCAGGGGTCAGCCAAAATTAGCAGCGTCGCCAGCTACAGTGCTGGGGGCGGTTGGCATCATCTACAATGTCGGGGCCACTTCGTGCGGAAAACGCCAAACAAAGGAGCAGCAAGGACTTCCAACGCGATACTGCGAGAAAGCAGCCAGGCAGAAACAACAGCTTCAGCCGCGCAGCAGCGGGGGGCAGCTCGCGCGAGCGGGCAAGCAGTGGCAGCATGGTCTGGCGGTGCGAGAAGGCGGGCAGTGGCAGCAGCGGTCGTCGGTGCCAAATGGCAAGCAGGAACAACTTTTCCAGCTACATTGCAGCGGGGGTCAACCCGTGCGAAGGGGCACGCGTTGACAGCAGAGTCAGTCGATGCGAGAAGACAGGCAGAGGCAGCAGCGGATGTCGGTGCCAAGTGGCCAGCAGAAGCGACATGTTCAGCTATATTGCAGCGGGGGTCAGTCCCCGCGAGAAGGCAGCAGAAAGCGGCAGCGCGGTCTGGCGGTGCGCGAAGGCGGGCAGTGGCAGCAACCGTGACCGGTTCCACATGGCCACTAGGAGCAACATCGTCAGCTACATTGCAGCGGGGGCCAGCTCGCGCGAAAAGGCACGCGTTGGCAGCAGGGCGAGGTGGCGCGAGAATGCGGGCAGTGGCTGCAGCGGCGGTTTTTGCAAGAAGGCCAGCAGCGGCAGCAGCAGACGTCGGTGCCAAATGGTGAGGCAAGAAACCTCATCAGGTACAAAGCGGCCGGGGCCAACTCGTGCGAGAGCGCAGTGCGAGAAGGCAGGCAGTGGCACCAGTGTCTGTGGGCGCGTGAAGGCAGGCAGTGGCAGCTGCGGTTTTCGGTGCCCCACCAGCGCAGCAAAAGCATTTCATGCGTTACAAGGTGGGGTCAGCTCGTGCGAGAAGGACAGGAAGTGGCAGCGAGCGTTGGCAAGGCGAGAAGAGCAAGCACTGGCAGCGAGGCTGGCAGCGCGCGCAGAAGCAAGCGCTCGCGCAAACGTCATCAGCTCCAACGCTAGGACCAGCTCGTGCGAAGTGGCACGTTGCCCCATTGAAGGCAGCAGGCGCCGGCGTGCGCCGGGGCTCTCAGCAGGCCGCCGCAGAGGGCTATGCTGCCGAAGGACGTGGCTCGACAGATAGGCCAACCACATAGAGTGCCCATCCCCCCGTCGTCGTTCCTCGTCGCCACGATTGGGCCGCCGCCCGCCGCCGCCGCGGGGTGGGGAAACTGGATTGCGCGGGGGTTCGGGGGGGGCTTTCTTCGCCGCCATTCGTTGTGATTCGACGATACGGAGGTCAGACCAGCAGAATCCAGCAGAACCCTCCTTCCTCCATCGCTTTCCTCCTTCGCGTCCATCCTCCCCTCCCCCACCTCCGCCTCCTCCTCCCTCGTCCTTTCCCCCCCCCCCATCCTCGTCGTCCTCCTCCCTTTCCGCGTGCTCCTCCCTTTCCGTATGTTTCTTCCCTACTTTTCCCCGGCCGCGCCCGTCCTTCCCTCTCCCACCTCTGCCTCTGCTCATCCTGTTCTTTCTTATTATCCGCCTCCTTCCCCTCCTGGGCATCATGATGATGATCATGCTCGTCATCAGCAGCGCCCTCGTCGCCATCGTCATCACCACCATCATCATTTACCGAACGTCCCCGCTCATCTTATTCGCCTTAGTTTCCCTCCTTCTCTTTATCATTGTCCTCCTTCTCCTCCTCTCCGCCCTTCTCATCCGCGTCCTCACCCTCCTGCCCCCACGCCCCCTGTCTCCTCCTCCTCCCCAACATCATCATCAACATTGTCCCATATGAGATATGTGTCCCTGTCTCCGCGCCGCCGCATATCCGCAGTTTCTCGGTCGAGCCAAGAGGAGTGGCCAGCCCACTGCATGGGCCAGTTTCTCTTGGAGGCGCGCCTCGGATACGCGCGAGATTTCACAGTCCAGGTCCTCCCCGCCGAGATAGCCCGCGGGGCTGCCGTGGGACTCCTCCAGTGGCACGGCGGCCCAGCGCTGCCGAGCGACACGCTGGCGTCAGCAGCGTGCGAGGGCTGGCGTGCGGCGGCCGAGGGTTGCGAGAAGAGGTTCGACGTGGCAGTAGACAGCTGCCGCGCATCGGCATCCCTGGGAGCACGTCTTGGGCTGATCGTGGTGCCACTCCTGTTCCTCGTGGGGCGCTGCAGTTGCTGCGCGGGCTGCGCCGTCGGCCGTGTCAACTATGGAGAAGTTTGGCGTCGAGCCACCAGCCTGGTGCCGAGGTGGCATCCGCCCGGGGTCCTTCGTGCTGCTGAAGTACGCGGGGGACACGACGTGGCGCGCGAGGCTGTTGATACGGGAGGTGGACTCGGAGACGAAGTGGTGGTTCATCCTAACCCCGGACGAAGACTTGTACGTCGAGCGCCTGGAGGCGTTTGATGATGGGGACATCCGCGCGGTGCGCGTGTGCGCTGCTGGCGGTGCGACCCCGATTGGAGTGCACCTTAGCAAGATGTACGGCTTCGACCCCCCCCGCTGGTCGAGGCGGACCTCGATGGGCTGGTGTCCGAGACGGAGCCTTTGGTGGACAGCGAGCGCGGGCTGCTGGGCTTGCCGCCGCTGCCGCCCCCGCCGACGGGGGCACTGGCGGCGCCCGCAGGTGGCACCGCCACGCCTCTGCTCGACCTGGGGGCCCCGCCAGGGCCCAGGCTTTCGACGCCGCCCGGCGCCGTTTGGGTCTTCGCGGAGTCCGCCTACGGCCGCGAGAAGGGTGGACGTGCCGCTCTCAACGACACGGCCGTGGCCCCGGGTGACAGAGGGGCGCTGGAGCTGGAGCCAGGTGCCTCGATCGCCATCGCGCGCGTCGAGATCGGCCGTGAGGAGGAGTTCAGAAAGGAACACACGACGAAGGAGATGAGCATGATCGACACCGAGACGGACGCTAGGGTCGCGCGGGCGAAGTACGCTGGAGGCTCGGGCAAACGGCACCGAGACTGGAAGGAGGTCCAGGACGGCATCTCAGAGGTGCCGCTGGTCGACCTGCCGATCGACGGGCCTCGGACGAGCAGCTGGTGCGCGGCGTTCCTCGGACGTGGTGCGCACGGCGGCACCCCCCTAGACCACCACAGGTGGTGGCGTCACGCTGCAAAGCTGAACGCCGGCGACTGGGGGGTCGCAGAGCACGAGTCGGTCATGAAAGCGCTGACCCACGCAGGGTCGCATGACCAGCTCGACCTCGCCAACCTCGCCTGCATCGAACACCTGCGCAGGCGCGCCCAGCTCATCGAGTACTATTACCGCGAGAAGATCAGGGGCGCGGACCGCAACGCCCTCGGCAAGAACGCGCTGCCCTTCGACGAGCAGGGGATGTTCATGGGCGAGGGCCGCGGGGGGGGGGGGCAGTCATGCGCGCCCACCCCTCATAGAGCACGTGTCCAGGGAGCTGGAGAGGGGGGCCGCCATCGCGAAGCAGGCGCGCAAGGCCCGCGAGGAGCGGGAGCTGGCGCGCCCCAAGAAGCAATGACTGAGCCACGGTCGCCGCTGGGAGCCCGGCAGTCGGCGACTGGGCGCGGCGCTGGGCGCGCGGGGCCTGACCACCCCCGTGCAGCTGTACCGGTCATCAGCCCTGGCGGTAGGCGGAGACAGAGGGGCGTTTTCCCTCTCGCCGCCGCCTCCGCTCTGGATGCTCGGCTACCGAGCGCTGGAGCTGGACGCCGATATCGTCAGGTTTGCCGCGCACTGGGAGAGCTCGCTGGAGGTGGGGATCGCGCATTTTTCTTTTCGGATGGCGCCGCCCCAGGGGGCGCCACCCTCATCTCCAGCGAGCTCGTGGCCAACAGGGTGATTGACATGGGTGAGCCGCCGAAGGGCCTCTCTTCTTCCGCCGCCTTCAACGAGGTGGTGAAGTCCGCCGACTACCACGGTGAGCGCGTGGACGTTGCTGCTATCGATCTTTGCCTCCTGTCTCTTCCTCCGGAGGGTCATCGGCCTGTCCCACTGGCTGAACTCTTGGGGAATGGGGGCGCGCTGGAGATCGAGCGTTTTTGTAAGGAGCTTGTCTGGCCAAGTGAAGTTGCGGCCGAGATCAAGGCTTCGCTTAACTTGAGGCGGCCCCACATGGACCGCGGGCTCGCGCACCGACCGCGCCTCTACGCCAACCTCGCGGAGGCTTTGTTCAAGCGCGGGCTCATCGACTTTCGCACAGACGTGCGTTGTGAGTGTGGAGGTTTTGGAGTATGGAAGAAGTCGGGGAAGCAGTGGATGGTGATTGACGCCCGCCTCTCGAACGCCCACCTCGGACACTCGAAGGAGACGCCTCTGCCCACGGGGGCCGCCTCCTCGGAGATCGACCTCGAGGGCGAGGCCGAGGCGTGGTTCGCCGCGTTGGACCTGAAGGATGCCTTCTACTACATCGAGCTCCCCCTGCAGCTGCGCTGCTACTTGGGCCTGCCGAAGGTGTCCGTGAAGAAGCTCAACCTTCCGACGGACGTGCTCAGCCTGGCCGTGGACGGGTTCCTCCAGCCGAGGTTCGCCGCGATGCCGATGGGGTGGACGCACGCGCCCTACTGGGCGCAGCTCGCCCACTGTCGCATCCTGACGCGGGCCTTCCCGGACTGGGAGGTGGAGGGCTTCTTGACCGACAACAGGGTGCTGCCGTCGATAGAGAAGGGGGTCATCGGCCTGCACGTCGACAACTGTGTGGCGGTGGGCCACTCTGCCGAGGCCGCCAACCTGCTGGTGGCCCGGGCAGCAGGTGCCTTCCGCGCGGCAGGGCTGCAGCCTCACGAGGAGGTCGCCGCTACCCAGGAGCTGGAGTTGCTCGGCTGGCAGCTGCGTGGAGGCAAGCAGGCTGGCGCTCAGGCCACAGACCGCCGCCGCCGGCGCCTGCGGCTGGCGCTGGAGCACGCCCTGACGCGAAACAAGCTCTCGTGCCATGAGCTTCGGCAGCTCGTAGGCCATTTTACTTTTTGTGCGCTGGTGCAGCGGCCGACCATCTCTTGCATGAATGCCGTCTATTCCTTTTCTCAGAAGTTCCCAACTGAGTTCCACAAAGTGCGGCCGTCGGTGCGCCGGGAGCTGCGATGGGCACGGGATCTTCTGGCACTGCAGGTCAGGCCCTGGCGCCGCGAATGGTCGAGCTGCGTCGCTTGCACCGACGCCTCCGAGCTAGGAGCTAGGGCGAGGAGTGGTCGAGGCCCACTTCCCCGCCTCTGTCGTCAGGGAGCACGGTGAGTGGAATGAGAGATGGAGGTTCAAGAACGGAGGCGAGCGGGTCAGCGCTCGTGTAGCAGCAGGTTTTGCTCGTCCAGATGCCTCGCCGCCAGAGCAGGAGAAATGCGAAGCGCTCCCTCCGTTGCAGGGCGCGGAGCCCCCGCCTTCGCCCCCTCGTTCCCCGACCTCACCTACGACCCCCACGGGCTCCAAGCTGGACCTCCCGGAGATCCCTGAGTTCCCCGAGCTATTCGCCGAGAGCGACATGCAGGGGCCCGAGGGCCAGTCGAAGGCTCGTTTTCCCGGAGATAAGCGCGCTCCTGGATCTGAGTTCCTTCTCCTTCCTCTTGATGATGGACATCTTCTGGGGCTTCCTTGGGACATCGTTGGTGCGGGGGGGTGGGGGAGGAAGGGGCACATTACCGTCTTGGAGGGTAGGGCCCTCGTGTGGGCCCTCAGGCACCGTCTGCGGAACACGAGGTCGTTCCATGCCCGTCTTCTCTTCATCGCCGACTCGATGGCGGCCATTTTGGCTTTGTGCAAGGGGCGGAGCAGCTCGCCAGGATTGTGTTCGGTCTGCCGACAGTGGGCCGCGCTATGTCTGGCGAGCGGGGTGGCCCCCGCCTTCCGCTGGTGCCCGTCTGAGCGGAACCCAGCGGACGCACCGCCACGGCTGGCCTACGCTGACCGCCGCGACGATGGCGAGGGCGGCCTTCCTGAAAGAGTCGAGGGGGCTGGACAGGAAGTGGTCGCGCGTTGGTGCTCTGCCTGGGCGGACGACTGCGGGCCTCGGCCGCGGCTCCGACCAGGGGGGCCCGCGCGCTTGGCGGCCCGCCAGGAGAAGCACAGCGTCCGCGCCCGTGTGCGGGGACCAGCTGCCCCGAGCTACGAGCGCCTTGAAGGGCGCCAGGCGGGGCGCGGGGCGAAGGCGCCCCATCGCGAGGATGGGCCGCGCAGCCGCGCTGCGCCTGGCGGCCCGCGGAGGCGAGAGAGGGGCCCACAGGGCGGTCCTGGAGATGCACGCCGCGGCGCCCAACTCCAGGCTTCAGTACTCCAAGATGTGGGGGGGCCTCCAGGACTGGGCGGAGTACCACATGCTGCCGCTCAGCCCGCCCAGCGCCCTCGACGCGACGCTAGCCGAGTACCTGGAGCACCTGTACTTCGAGGGCCGCGACGCGGGGATGGGGACGAAGGTGATCGCTGCGGCGGGCTTCTTCGCGCCGGAGGTCTCGCGCCACGGGCCAGCCAGGCTGCCGCGCGCGCGGCTGGCGGCGCAGGGGCGGCTAAGGCTGTCGCCTCTCCGGGCCAGGCTGCCCATCCCAGTGGAGGTGGCGACCGCCATCGCGGTCGCCATGTGTGCCCGCGGGGAGCGGAGAGCCGCTGCAGGGGCGCTGCTGGCGACCACCTGCTACCTGCGGCCCGGGGAGCTGGCCGCCGCGAGGCTTGCGGACCTGCTCCCGCCGGGGGCTTTCGCGGGCGAGGGCCGCGTCCACCGGGTGCTCCAGCTGAACAGGTTCGAGGAGGGGGAGCCGTCCAAGACGGGGCGCTTCGACGGCTCGATCGCGCTCGACGACCCGAGGCACGCCGCGCTGCACAGGTTCCTCGCCCAGCTCAAGCGGACAGCACACCCAGACGAGCCACCCATCCGGATGGGGCAGCTCCACTGCGCAAAGCTGTTCGGCGAGGTGGTTAACGAGCTGCGCCTGAACATCCTCGGGCCGCCTGCGCCGCACCAGTTGCGGCGCGCCGGCGCGTCGGGCGACCGGGCGAGCGGCCAGAGGATGCTGGTGGAAATCAAGAAGAGAGGAAGGTGGCTCTCGGACTCGTCCGTGAGACGGTACGAGAAAGGAGGGCGACTTCGAGAGCAGCTGCTTCGCCTCCCCGCGGGCCTACAGGCCCACTGCCGCGCCTGCCACCTCATGTGCGGCGAGATCCTCCTCGGGCGCTCCAGGCCCTTGCCAGTGCTGCAGCTGTTCCGCTGCGCCCGCGACCGCCAGCTGTCTTTCTCGAGATCTTCTCGGGGGGCGGGCACCTTGCGCGTGCCCTTGGACGTCGAGGGCGGCTGCGTCTAGAGTGGGGTCTGAAGCATGGCGAGAAACTCACACTTACCAAGCGTGCGAATGTCCAGTTGATCGCTGGGTGGATCACCGCAGGATTTTTGCACGGCCTGCACCTCGGGACCCCCTGCGGCAGCTGGAGTCGGGCTCGTGATCGCCCGAGTGGTCCACCTGCCTTACGTAGCAACAATGATATCCTGGGGACTTCTCACATGTCCAGTGCGACCCCAAAAGACAGGGATAATATCCTAGTAGGCAACACGCTCATGAGAGCATCAGCCAACATGATTCGCAGCTGCAGCTTCCCGGCTCGCTCGAGAATCCTCGCACCTCAAGGCTGTGGATGGCGCCGCCAATAGCGCAGCTCCGTGGCCACCCCCAGGTGCGGGAAACCATTCTGGACTTTTGTGCTTCTGGCACGCCATGGCGCAAACGCGCGTGTTTTCGGCAATGGTATGTTGACCTCACATGCTGTGGCCGACTGTGTGCGTCCAAGCATGGTATCTGCGAGTTTTCAAAGCATAAGCACGTCGATCTCGTCGGGAAAGACAGCCGCGGTGTGTTCCTCACCTCCACGGCCGAACCGTATCCCCCCAAAATGTGTTCCGCTTTTGCCGCCTGCTTTTCAAACGCTGATGCGTGCAGAATCGTCTCGTGTCTTGATAAGGCGGCCTGCGGCCAGACTCCTGTTCGGTGCATATGGGACTGACATCCGCTCACTTCGCTCCCAGCGAGAGGGCGCCAAAGCCCTTCGAGAAGCCTTTCCTGAATGTTGCGTCGCCTGGATGGAAAAAAAAGAAGAGCGCCGCTGCATGGTTGTCTGGCATAGTGAGGGAGGGATTGTCCCATCTGAGATATGTATCCCTGTCTCCGCGCCGCCGCATCTCCGCAGCGTCTTGGTCCCTACCCACGGGCCACCCTTTTGATTCTGCTCAGATGCCCACAAGTTAAGATGCTGAGCTCTATCTTGAATGCCAACATTCAAGCTTTCCTACTAGTCTGCATTTTCTTTTCGCTTATATTATCCCGAAGTTTCTGACCTCGGTCTTCCGCCCAGCCCCCTGTTGAGGAGCTGACATCCGTTCACTTCGCTCTCAGGGAGAGGGCGCCAAAGCCATTCGAGAAGCCTGTGTTGAATGCTGTGTCGCCTGGATGAAAAGGAAGAGCGCCGCTGCATGGTTGTCTGGCATAGTGAGGGAGGGATTGGTATCGTCCTCGTGTTCCTCTTCCTCCTCCTTCCCCTGCTCCTCCTCTTCCGTTTCCCCCCCCTCCCTCATCCTCAGCCCCCTCGGCCAAGGGACGGAGATGTGAAAGCCGTCGTCCTCCTCCCCCTCCTCTTTGTTTTTCTTATTCCTCCTCATCAGCATCATCGCCATTCTCTTCCTCATCGTTTTCTCTATTCATCCTCAGCATCTGCGTCTCCTTTTCCTTCAACATCCTTATCCTCATCTGTCCCCTCCTCCTCCCCCCCCCCCCCCCCCCCCCCCCTCCATCCTCCCCTCCTCTCCTCCTCCTCATCATCATCATCTAAGTCCCCTTTTCCACCTCCTCATTCGCCCCAATTCCTCCTCCTCTTCCTCCTCCTCCACGTCCTCCTCCTCCTCCTCCTCCCCATCCCCATCCCCGTCCAACTCCCTTCTTCTCCTCCTCCTCCTCATCCTTTTCCTCCTCCTCCTCCTCCTCATCGTCCTTCACCTGCCTTATCCTCCTTCCCTTCTTCTTACTCTACCTTCTCCTCCTCCTCATCCTCGTGCTGGTCTCCTCCTCCTCCTCCTCCTCCTCCCCCTCCCCCACCTCCTCCTCCTCTAGTCTAGGCCCCCCTAGATGGGGTCGGAGTAGATGGGGTCGGAGGATCGCGCCGCATCGCCGATGCATCGGCGATACATCAGCTATGTGGCTCGATGTGGGGCCCCGTTTTCTCCGCGCCGACGTCGCCGACGCCGCCGATGCATCGGCGATGCACCGCCGATGCATTGGCGATGCATTGCCGATGCATTGGCGATGCGGCGGGACCCCCTGACCCCATCTACTCCGACCCCATCTAGGAGGCTTCTATCCAGGGGCGTTTCAATCTCCTCCCCCATCATAGCCAGCCCTTTTGATCGAGGGGGAAGGGTGTTATGAGAGTCGTGTTCCTCTTCCTCCATCTTCTCCTCCTTCTCCTCCTAATTGCCCCTCCCCTTCCTCCTCCTCCTCCTCCTCCTCATCCTCCTCTTCCTCCTCCTCCTCCTCCTCCTCCTCGTCCTTCTCCTCCTCCTCCTCCAGCTCCTCCTCCTCCGCATCGTCGTCATCAGCATCGCCGTCCGCAGCGACCCTATCGTATCAGCATTATCAGCAGCAGCATCATCATCATCAGCATCATCGTCACCAACATCAGCATCATCGCCACCATTATCATCAGATGCATAACCATCAGCAGCAGCAGCATCAGCACCGTACCGATCATCACCAGCAGCAGTAATATCAGCAGATTCTGCATCACCATCATCAGCAACAGCACCAGAATCATCAGCGTCAGTTTCATAATCATCGGCAGCAGCAGCACCATCATCGTCGTCATCATCAGCATCATCCGCATCGCCATCCGCAGCATCATCACCACCACCACCGTCAACATCGGCATCGTCATCAGCTCCATCATCATGAGCATCCGCAGCATCAGCAACAGCAGCATCCTCATCGGCATCGTCATCATCAGCATCATCGTCGCCGTCATCATACGCGTATTCATACGCATACCAAGAGTCAAAACCAGGCTCATTATCATTATCATGTTCATCCCCATCACCATCCTCATCGTCGGAATCCGCCGCCTTCTCCTCCTCTTCCTCGTTCTCCTCATATTCCTCCTCCTCCTCATATGGCTCCTCCTCCTCCTTCCTCCTCCTTCCCCTTTCTTCGTCTCCTCATCCTCCCCATCCTCATCCTCGCCCCTTTCCTCCTCCTACTCATCCTCATCCTGATCGTCACCCCTCCTCCTCCTCCTCAACCTCCTCGTGTTCGTTCTCTTTCTGCCGCAGGGACGCTTCACCCCCCTCCCCCTTCATCCTTAGCCCCCTCGATCGAGGGGGCGAGGTTTGAATAGATTCCTTCTCCTTCTCCTCCTCCTCCTCCTCCTCCTCCTCCTCCTGCCCGCCCTCATATTCCTCCCAATCCTTTTCAGCTCCCCTCCTCCGTGTCCTCCTCCCCCTCCTCTCCATCCGCCTAGCCGTTTCGGGGCGAGCACGAGGCTCGCTCGTGCGGGCGCATATTTCGAAGCGGCGCGCCCCCGCGGGCCGATGGCGAATGGCGCTGCTGGAGGCGCGCGCGGCGCCAGCCAGGGTGGCGACCCCTGGACGTGCAACGCGTGCGCAGCTGGCTACAGCAACATGGCGTGGCGCGCGGTGCGCAGGCTCTGCCAGGCGGCGCGGCCGCCGAGAGGTGCTGGCACTTTCGGCGACGCCATCGACAAGGCCAAGAAGGTCAAGGCCAAGGGGAAGGCGAAGGCCGTGGCGAAGCGGGCGCGGTTCGCCTCGGATGGGCCTGGCCCGTCCGCCGCCGCGGCCGCGCCGGCGCCGTGGGCGCAGGGCGCGGCCAAGCAGGCGGCCGTGGAGAAGCCCTGCAGCGGCGGCGGCAAGGACGAGGAGGTCCGCCTGGCCCTCCTCCGTCACTTTGGCCCCAGGGAGGGCTGGTCGGCGGCCCTGGTCCAGGACTTCGGGGCCCTGGTGCCCGAGGCCGACGCGCCGCCGCCTGCGAAGCCCTTGGCCGAGCTGTCTCTCCAGGCCCTCCTGGCCAGGGAGGCGAAGGTCAAGGGCCAGGTCGGCCGCGCCGAGGCCATGCTGGCGGCGGCCAAGGAGGAGCAGGAGACCGCCGCGGCGCGCGTGGCGGAGCAGGAGGGCGCCCTCCAGAAGCGCCGCGACCAGCTGGAGGAGGTGGCCGAGGCGGTGCGCGCCAGGAAGCGCGCCGACCTGGCGCAGCACACAGGCCCGTCGCCCATGGAGGTGGGCGAGCCCGAGGAGACGGGCGACCTGGGCAAGGCGCTGCTCAGGAGCCTCGAGGGCCTCGAGGCGGAGCGGGAGCGGGTGCTGCAGCTCGGGGAGGACGGGGACGCCCTGCTCGCGATGGCCGCGGAGGCCCGCTGCCTCGTGGAGAAGCTTGCTGCCGCCGACGCCGCGCCCGCGAGGCAGCGGCGGCCGAGCGAGCCCGCGCAGCTGCTGCTGCCGCCGAGCGGGCCGCCGCCGCGCAGGAGGCCGCCCCCGCGGCCGCTGGCGAGGTGGATGGCGCTGCTGGTCCTCCTGGAGACCGCAAGCGCGTCGGTGACCTCGGCCCGGGCCCAGAGCTCGACGGGCTCGATGCCTTGTTCGACGAGGTCGGCATGGGGGACGAGCAGCAGCGGGAGGCCTGGCGCGCAGCGCTGGCCAAGCGCCAGCGAGCGGCAGGCCCAGCCTCTGGGTGGCCGCCCGCAGGCGGTGGACGTGGTGGAGCTGGCGTCGGCCAACGCCACCGCGTGGGGCTCCGCGCAATCGCTGGTCGAGTGGCTGCACGACGGCGTGGGGCGGCTGCCCGAGGTGCTCTGCCTCCAGGAGCACCGCCTCAAGGGCAAGCAGGCGGTGGCCCGCGCTGCGACTGGATGCAGGCGCGTGGTTTCAGCTGGCACGGCCAGGCCGCGATGGCGACGGGCCCTGGGCCGCTGGAGAGCTCAGGAGGCGCGGCTGTGGCCACGCTGCGGCCGTCCGCGGCAGTCGCGACGCCAGGGCCCCCAGCCCATCGGTTCCAGGTGCGCGAGGTGAACCTAGGATTCAGGGAGCCGCGCTGTATCATCTCGTCCTACTTCGTCACGAAGATAGGCAGGGCGAAGGAGAACATCGGGCTCATGGCGGCGCTGCACGAGCACGTCGGGCAGCTGGAGTCGCCGTGGCTGGTGATGGGCGACTGGAACATGGAGCCCGAGGACGTCCGTGAGTGGGCACGCAGCGCGGGCGCTGCCCTTGTCGTCCCAGGGGAGCCGACCTGCGGCTCGAAGGTCTTCGACTTCGCTGTCGTCAGCAAGGTCCTCACGGGCTTCGTGGAGACGGTGGAGGCGCTGCTGCAGGCGCCGACGAAGGACCACGTGCCGTTGAAGGTGGTGCTCCGCGGCGTAGGGCCAGCGGCGAGGGTGCAGCGGCCGCTGTTCCCTGCCGCCTTCCCGCTGCCGCTTCCGCCGCCAGCGAGGCCAGCGCCGCGTGGGCGTGGGTTCTCGGCCTGGAGCCCAGGAGGTGAGCAGCCGCTCAAGGTCGGCTGCCAGGAGCGGTTTGAGGCGGTGGAGGCCTACCTGATCGACCTCCACGAGATCGTGCCGCCCAGCCGTTGGAAACGGCGGGCTGACGGGCTGCGCACGCAGAAGGTCAAGATGGAGGCGGCCTGGAAGCAGGACCTCAAGAGGAGTGTTGGCGCGGCGTGCAGACGCTGGATGTCGTTTGCGGCGGCGTGCGCCCGCTGGCGCGCGCTGCAGGGGGCGGCGCCAGGAGGTCGCCGCGCGGCGCCGCTGCGCAAGCAGCGCCAGGTGCTGGAGGCGTTCGAGCTCGAGTGGCCTGAGGACGGCCCGCTCGCAGGGCTGTCGGTCGCCCGCGTTGTCGGCCTGCTCAGCACCTCATCGTGCAAGCTGACGGTGCAGTTCGTCCAGGAGGAGGCGAGGCGGCGCTGGATGCAGGACAAGCAGCGGAGGGCTGCTGAGTGGCGCGCCTGGGCCCAGGCCGCTGCCACCGAGAGGGGCGGCTCGGCGGCCTACCGCTTCATCAAGCAGGTCACGGTGCTGCCCACGGTGGTGCACGAGGGCGCAGACGGCGACGATGGCCCGCGCATGCCCGTAGCAGGCGAGGCCGCGGTGGCTGCACTGCTGAAGGCGTGGCAGCCCCCTCTGGATCAAGCCGTCGCGCGCTGGTGAGGTGGCGCCCGAGGACTGGGACATCCAGGAGTCGGTGCTGCCGCCGCTGGAGCTCGAGGATCTGGAGCGGGCCCTGGGCACCTACCGCGAGGGGTGCGGCCTCGGCTGGGATAGGCTCCACCCGAAGCAGTTGCTGCGCCTCCCGCGGTCCTACAGGAAGCGCTTCCTGGAGCTCCTCCAGGCCTATGAGCGGAGGCCCACGCGGGAGGCGCTGTGGCAGCTGGTTGTGGTGTTCATCCCCAAGGCGACTGGAGGCCAGCGGCCGATCGGCCTCACGGCCATCTGGCTGAGGGCGTGGAGCAGGATGCGACAGCCGCTGGTGGCCCGCTGGGAGGCCTCGCTGCAGAACCCCGCCTTCTGGGGCAAGTCGGAGTGCCCGTGCGAGCGCGCAGGAGTGGTGCACAACCTCCTGGCGGCCTTCGCTCGCAGCAGGGGCCTCTCGGCGGCAACGGGAGTCACCGACCTGGCGAAGTTCTACGGGCATGTCAGTCACGAGGAGCTGCGCGTGCAGGCGGTCGCCACGGGCTTCCCGCTCGCGCTGCTGCGGTGCTACTGCGTGTCGTACTGTACGCAGCGGTGCGTGTCGTGGTGCGGCTCAGTCTCCAAGCCGTTCGAGGCGAACGGCACCATTGTGGCGGGATGCAGTGGGGCGGTCGGACTGGCCAAGCTGCTGGTGCATACCCTCTTCGTGAAGATCATGCGTGAGAACCCGGTGGTTCGCCTGCAGAACGTCGTGGACGACGTGCTGCTGCAGGCGGTCGGCGGCGAGGCTCAGGTGGTGCAGCAGCTACCCAGGGCCATGGCTGCCCTCATCGAGGGCCTGGTCGCCAAGGGGCTGGTCATCTCGGAGGCGAAGACGGGCTACCGGGTGAACAGCGAGGACCTGGGCGACGCGCTGGACGGCTGCTGGGCGCACGGGCCGCTGGCCCGCTGGGCAGGTGCCCGCTGCCTGGGAGGTGACGCCACCGACGGGCGCTGGAGGCGCGCGGGCGAGCAGGACGCGCGGCTTGGCCGCGCGGCGGCGGTCAGTGCGCGGGCGCGCGGTGCTGGTGCGCGGGTGGGCCACATCCAGAGGGGGAGCCCCACTGCCACCGCTGTCTGGGGCTCCGCCGTGACGGGCCTCGCCTGCGGGAAGCTGCGCGGCCTGCGGGTCGCCGCCATGCGCGCGGAGGGCAAGCTGCCCATGGGCTCCAGCGTTGGCCTGCGGCTGCGGGCGCAGCAAGGCGCCGCCTACCGAGACCCCTTCGTGGTGCACGCGGTGGAGGTGGCACGCTCCTGGGGCATGACGCTGGAGACGGGCCTGCCCAGTGCCGCGGTGGTGCAGGAGTGCTGGCGCGGGGCGCAAGGCCTGCTGGTGCTGCGCCGCCCCTGGGGGCAGCGCCGTGACCCTGCACAGGCGTGTGCACTGGCGCTGAGGCGGGTCGGCTGCGAGATGGTGGCCTTCAATGCCGTCATCGATTGGCGGGCGCGGGTCTTCTCGCTGGAGTACTTCTCGCCAGGCATGCTGGTGCAGGTGGTGCGCACGTCGGCGCTGCTGGCCTCGGGTGCGCTCGCGCTGCAGCGGTTGCGCGGGCCTGGCGCCTGGGCATGGCCGCCGCCAGGGGCCCGCGCGGCCGCCGCCGCTCTGGCAGGCCTGTCACAGGCGTGCGCTCGTGGCGGTCCTCGGCGGCTCCCACTGGCCGCAGGAGCGGCTCTGGAAGGAGGGCAAGGCGCTCGACGGCCGCTGCCGCCTGTGTGGAGGCAGAGGCACGCTGTGGCACAGGGCCTTCGAGTGCGACGCCTGGCAGCTGCGGAGGGACGCGCGCTCGCCCGGGCTGCTGGAAGGGGGCAAGGCTGGTGGCGCAGCGCGGGGATGCCGCGGCGGAGCTCTTCGCGCGTGCGCTCTGCCCCGACCCTGCCCTTGCCTTCCCCGCGGCGGCAGACGCTGCGCTCGCGGCCCCGCGCTGGTGGGGCGCGCCGCCTGGCTCGAAGTTCGCGGGCAGGGTCTTCGTGGATGGCAGCGCCAGGTTCCCCGCGCTGCGAGGGGCACGCCGCGCTGGCTGGGCCGTGGTGCAGATCGGCCTCGGCGGGGGAGTCGTCGGCGGGATGCACGGCATCGCCCCGTGGAGGTACGGGCCCGAGCAGGAGGCCAGGGACGGCGAGGACTACGCGTTCCACATGCTGGCCCAGTACTGGCAGGCGTCGGGCGACGGCGCGGGCCTCGAGGTCTTCTGCGACTGTGCTGGCACGGTCGGCCTGGCGCTCTTGCGGGGCAAGGCCCTCGCGCCGCTGCAGGCGCGCCGCCACCTGTGGCAGGAGTGGTGGGCGGGGCCTGGCCTGACGGCCACAGTGCGCAAGGTCAAGGCGCACAAGGCGCTCGCCGCGGCGTCCAGCTGGGAGGAGGAGCTCATGATCAAGGGCAACAGGGCAGCCGACCTGTGGGCCAAGAGGGGCGCCGCCCTGTGGCCGATCGACGAGGAGCTGGTCTGGTTCCTCCAGGCGTGCGCCTGGCGCGCGGAGGAGCTCGGGCGCTGGATCGGCGAGCTGGCCGCCGCCATGGTGGGCCACGAGAAGCTGGACCCCGACGGGGTGGTAGGCACGGCCGACCTCGTCTACGACATCCCGCAGGAGGCGCTGGACGCGGCGGAGCAGGCCGACGTGGAGGTGGCGGCGGCGGCGCTCGAGGCCGAGCTCGTGCAAGGCCAGGCTCCTGCTGCTGGTGCTGCGGCTGCTGCTGGCGCGGAGCTCGGCCAGCCACCCGACGCCGCCGCCGAGGCCGCCGCCGTCGAGCTCGAGGACGCTGCGGCAGCCGCCCCCGAGCTGCAGGCAGTTGTGGCAGGAGCAGGCGTGGCGCGGCAGGTGCGAGGGCACTGCATCGTCGTCTCTCGCCTGGAGAATGGCGACGGGGCCATGGCCTGGTGCCTGAAGTGTGGCTGCCGCTTCTGGAAGAGGCCCCCTCCTGCAGGGACTGGCCTGCTGGGCAGCTGCAAGGGGCGACGTGCCCCTGGCGAGCGGGCGGCAGAGGCGAGGCGGCTCCTGATGCGTCTCCAGGAGCCGAAGAGCAAGGCGCGGCTCTTCGCCCCGCAGGCGCCCACGGCCGAGGAGCAGGCGCGGCTCGCGGCGGTGCTCCGAGAAGGCGCTGGCGAGGCAGGCGGCGCTGGGGCCCCCGTTGGGGCTGGGCGGCCGCCGCGCTGGGGGCTGCGGCCAGCCGTGGCGGATGCCTGGCAGGCGGCCGCGCCCCACGGCTTCGCCTCGCCCGCCGCCGCGGCGCGCTGGGCGCAGGCGCGCGTGGAGGCGGGCTGGGGGTCGCCCTTCGGCGACGGTGGCGCGGCGCGACCGCGCTTCGACGGAATTTGGTTTGGCCCGCGGGCAGGGCGCCAGGGGGCCGAACGGAACAATTGCCCAACATGGCCTCTCCATCCTCCTTAGCGCCCCCCTCCTCCTCCCTCGTCCTCCTCCTCCTCCTCCTCCTCCTCCTCTTCCTCCTCCTTCTCCTCCTCCTTCCTCTTTGCTCCTCCTCTTCCCTCGCCTCCTCCTTCTCGCCTTCCTCCTCTTACTCTTCAGCTCCCCCAAACATCGTATTGGTCCTCATGTTCCCCCCCCCCTCCTCCTTTTCTTACTCCTCCTTCTCCTCCTGTTCCGCAGCTCCTCCCCAGCTCCCCCTCAACACCCCTTCTCCTCCTCCTCCTCCTCCTCCTCCTCCTCCTCCTCCTCTACCTCCTTCCTCCTCCTCTGCAATCGCCTCCGTCATCGAGGATCGAGGTTTTTGGACGTTCTTGGCCCAGCTTGGCCCAATCAAGCCTTTGGTGCGGACCTCTGGGGGCATCGTCATCCCCCTCTCTTATCATGTCCCTTTTCTTCTCCTCCAATGCCCATATCAGTCTCCTTTCGCCCGTGGCGACCGACCAGTTCCTCAGATTCGGCCTCCCAAGGCCTGCCCAGAACGGCCCGGGATGCAAAACAATTATCCTTGGGGTGGATCGGATTTTTGGGGGAACATGTTACCAACAGATCGCATCTTTGGATGTATTGGGAGAGAGGTCACGGTTCAACGGATGTTCTTATATGTGTCCGGTGGATGTCGGAGGGTTGCGAGTGTGGAAAGGGATGAGGACATCGTAGAGATGTAGAGGTAGTGTTAGGAAGGAGGACGCAGGAGGAGAGGATGAGGAACGAGGGGGAAGGAGGAGGAGGCAGGAGGATGGATGATGAGGAAGGGTCAGGCAGGAGAAGGAAGGAGGAGGCACGAGGATGGAGGAGGAGGAGGAACTAGGAGGGGAGAAAGGTTTCGTGCGTTCCCGCATACGCCTGCTAACTCACGTCACCCGCGTTATTGACGCAAACATACTGCGTGTTGTTCGTGCGGTCGCGCCTCATGGCTTTTTCCGTCCCATCACCTTGTCAATGAGAGTCATCACGGAGCGGCGGGCCGTTGCCATTGGCAGAAGCTTCAGACGCCCCTCCCCCGTCGCTCGGTACTTTTGCTGGACCTCTCAGGGTTCCCTGCGGCCGTTGTTGCCGCTTTGTTGATGTTGTTGCAGTTCGCCCGCGTTGCCATCTTTCTCTCGAGCCGTGCCGCCGTCACGTGCCCCATACAGTGTGCTCTGTTTTGCTGTTGCCCTTGCTCGACCCCACCCTCCGTTCGTAGATGGCCTTTTGCTCGCTCCTGTTCCTCCTCCTCGTCCGACTTCGCCTCACAGTACGAGCGAATGCCAGAGGCAAATAGGCCTCGGCAGCAATTTGTTTTGATTCATCCACGCAGCTTGCCACCGCCTGCTCGCAAACGCGAGCAGTTGGCGTTGTTCCCAGACGCGCGCACGCGCCCCTCTGACTTTCTCGCCCTGCTGCTTTTCCTTCTCTCTCTCGCTCTCTTTCTCTCTCCCTCTCTCTCTCTCTCTCTCTTTCTTTGTGTTGTTTTCTCGCTCGTGTTCTTTCCTTTCCCTCTCCGTATCGCACTGTCTCTCTCTCTCGATGTGTTGTCTCTCTCTTTCTCTCTCTATTTCTCTTCTCTCTCTCTCTCTCTCTTTTTTTCTCTCTCTCTCTCTCTCTCTCTCTTTCTCTCGCTCCATAGATTTATATGAACGTGTACATCTACACACACTGCTCCCCACCCTCGTTGCGACATCCTCCCCCCTCCCTTCCATTTCCTCTGGCTTCTCGTCCTCCACCTCGGCCTCCTTCCGCCCCAGCTATGTTCCTCCTCGCTCCGTCATGACTGCGTCCCGCTGCACGTGCCCCGTTCCATGCCTGCCCCGCGCCGCGTGTTACCAAGGACTGCGTGTCATTCCCTGGATGGACGCGCATCCGCCCTGCCAAGGTCGGTCTGCGTCCGCGCCAGCGACAGGCCGTGCGAAACAGTGCCCGTTCGGCAGGGGAGGGATGACTGATGTTGAAGAAGGGAAAGGGAGGGATCATGCAGGATGGAACGACTTCCCAAAATGGTAAAGGAGGTTTCCTGGGAGGAAGAAGATCAGCAGGAGGAGCAGGAGGAGCAGGGGGGATGAGCTGGACAAGCAAGGGTTTTGAATGCATAGTGAATCAACTCAATATCGCAAAGTATCCCGAATGCTCCTTTGGTGTCCCGGTGATGGCTTGGTGGCCATCAGAGCAGCAAATTGACATTGGGTGGAAATTGTTCAAATGAAACCTACCTGACTGCGAAGATAAGCGTTGAATCACTCCTAGATGCCAAGTGGGTCCAACGGGGCCCTGGCGAATCAAATAAGTTGGCCAATCCGATTTAAATCTATAGAGACGGCCCGTCTGCGGATCATATGTGAACGGCAAAGTGTCGTGATGACTCGGTCGTGCTATGTCGTGGTGACCATTGCACGCGAGACTTTGCGAGTGCAGTTTCATTCAGAATTGAGACACAATTGCGTATTTCGTTGCTCGAATTACTAATATATTTAGGAAGTGTGACGCATGCGAGCCAACGTGGACCTCAGACAATGTGCTTCTAGTAATATATGTTGCCCCATCTGTGTATTGCAATCTACGTGGTGCAATATGCAGGGTGCAATATATGTTGTGTCATCTTATTGTGCAACATGTGTTGTGATATGTATGTTGTGCCATCTGTTGTGTCCAATCGTTGTGCAACTTATACTGTGCAATCTCTCTCTCTCTCTCTCTCTCTCTCTCTCTATATATATATATATAAATGTGTGTGGTGCAGTCGATCTCGTTGTACTGCCATTGCGCTGTGTTCTGTCCGTCGCTCGCAGTGGTGGCTTCGGAACGAAAGTGCCAGTGTTGTGTCCACTTCCGGGTATGTGAAGAACCGCCGGTCCAAGAAGATCTCTCAGGGTACGTTTTCCTTGCCGAGAGGGTCATCTTGGGCTGGTTTTTGGACAAGTCGTTGCGGAGCTCCCTTTGCCAGCGCACAGTCTTGGCAAGGGCTGCGTCCGTCGGCTGTTCTGGCACTCGGCGGTGGAGCAGGTCGTAGCTGGTTCTCACGTCCGCAGCCGTGCGCGGGCCGCAGTCGCTGGGCGCCGCCGCCGAGCTGGGCGCTTGCCTGTGGCCGGCAATGCCTTGCCAGGGAACTGCCCGCTGCCATGACCTGCGCGGTGGCAGCCTTCCGCGCTCGTGCAAAGGGCCCGCGGTGGCGTCCTCTTCCATGGCCCGAGTGTTCACCACCCACCAAACCACCCCAACCCAACGCGAAGGCTCAGATTTACCCTCGATTTCCAGTGGGGGGGGTCGGGAAACATCGAAAAAACACATGTGGAACCCTTACCCCCCCCAACCCGAAATTCGGGTCTTCGGGTTGGGTTGGGGTGGTCTGGAAGGTAGTCAAGTGTGTGGTGGGCCCGTGCTCCCCGCAGAGTGTTCTGCCCTTGGCCTGCCTGCCGACTGTGCCGTCGGCCACTGCCGCGTCCCATGCCGCGGAGGCACGGTGCAACTCCGGAGCGCCACGCTCGCCTGCGGCGCGCGCCACGCGCGCGAGAGCAGCGCGCAGCGATGCGCTTGACTTCGGGAAAGGCGCCGGGAATGCCGCCATGGAGCGTTGTTCATCACCATGCTCCAGGAACAGCTTCTGCTCCGCAGCATCCGTGGCCGCGGAGAGCAGCCGATTCCGTGGGCGAGGCGGCTGCTCTGTGGCAGGCGCGCTTGCGCCAGTGGCCGGGGCGGCAGCGGTCACTTTGGCGGCCAGCCGCTCGCGCGCGTGCGCCCGAGCTGCTGCTGCAGCAGCTTCCGTTGCCTTGGTGCACGGCGGGCTGCGGCCCTCGCAGAGCATTCGACGTTGGCCCCGCGCGCCGAGCGCGTCGGCAGAGTCCCACGCCTCGCAGGCAACGCCGCGCGGCGAGAGCGCTGCCTTCTGCTCGAGCTCGTGCCGCGTTCGCGGGCGCAGTGCGAAGCGGCCCAGGCAACTCCTGGAAGAGCGCCTGGAAAGACGCGGCGTCTTCTTTCGGGGCTCAAGAGACGGGGGTCAATGCAAACGGGGGTCAGCTAGGGCACCAGATTTTGCAGGATCTTGCGAAGACCTCCTCTGGCTGACCCGGGTTAGCCAGCCGCTCGTGGCCGCGAGGCGGCTGCGCATATTGGCTGACCTGGGTTTGCGAAGACCTGCTTTGGAGTTTTTGTTTTCCTGCATTGCAGGTTTTTGGTTTCCTGCTGGCCTGGGTCTGGATTGAGCCGGGGCAGAAGATCCCCGATTCTTGAGCGCGCCGCTCTGCAGCGCGCGCGGTAACAGTCGCGCACGCCACCCCAAGGCCTCCCCGCCTGCTGGGACGACTGCGTGTTCGCCGCCCGCGCGCGCCTTCTGGTGCGAGCGGTTGGCCGCGCCCCCTGCGCTGTCCAGAAAGGCATCCAAAGCCACCTCCAGAAAGCGGTCGAGGGCGATAGCCCCGCCCCGCCAGTCTTCTTGTGCTTGCGGGCTCGATGCCAAGTGTGCGCAAGCACGCAAAAGCGCGTTCACGTCAGCGGCTTCGAGGACGCGATCTTCGAGCTCTGCAGCAGTAGGTTGGCAGAGCAAGGAGCCGCGGCTGGCGTGTTCTGCTTTGTAGCAGACCCAGGCTGGCCAAGCACGATGTTTCCGCGGCGGACGCAGGCCAGCGTGGTGTAATTGGGCAGCGGCGCGCTCATCCACGCATCGGCTTCTGAGGGCAGCATTTCGGAGGTACGCGGCGTCGTCGGTGGTAGTGTATCCGCATGCGTTGACGGCCTGGTCGCAAGCGATCTCTGTTTGCATCTGGCACCCGGCCGCACGAAGGATGCTAGCCGCCCTGTCGCCCAGAGACTCCTGCGAAGCACTGACGCGATCCACCACCCTGGCGAGCAAGCGATGCCCGGCCGCCCGAGCAGAGAGCCTGCCCACGATCGACTTGTCTCTTGTGCGGGTAGCACAAAGGTACTCTGTAGCAGCCGCTGGCGCTCCTTTCGCGAACAGCGAGCCCGCTGGCAGCAGGCCTCGCTGTAGCAGCTTTCGCCGCGCCCCGTTTCGATGCCATCGCCTCCAAGCGGCTCTGGCCGCGCGGGAGCGGGAGGTGAAGGCCGCTCAAGACCCGCTCGAGCCCCACGTCAGCAGCCAAAGTACGCGTGTGTGTATGTGTAGGAGCTTACGTACTCACCTATGTGGTGTGTTGTGTGAGCCACGTGGCGTAAGCTATGTGGTGCAGTCGATGTGATAGGAGCTAGCGTACTCTTGTATGTGGTGTGAGCTGTGTGGTATGAGTTCCGCGGTGCCACCTAAGTGGTAAGAGCTAGCGTACTCATGCATGTGGTGCGAGCTACGTGGTGCAAGCTGTGTGGTGCAATCCACGTGGTAAGAACTAATGTACTCATGTATGTGATGGGAGTTGTGTGGTGACAGCTGCGTGATGCAATGGATGTGGTAGGAAATGGAGTACTCGCGTATGTCGCGCGAGCTACGTGGTGTAAGCTATGTGGTGCAATCCATGTGGTAGGAGCTGTCGTACTCATCCATGTGGTGTGATCTATGTGGCTCAAGCTATTCAGTGCAATCGAAATCGGTCAAAAAGCGCGCCGCAGGCGCGAACTAAGACGCGTGCAATATATGTGTTGCAATAGATGTGGAGGGCAAGATATGTGCTGCATATATGTAGTGCTACCTAGTTGATGCAATCGATGTGATGCAGTTTATGGTGTGCCATGCATGTTGTGTAACCTACGTGGCTGTGTATAATTATGTGGTACAACCTATGTTGTGCAATCGGTATTGTGCAATACTTGTGGTTGTGTCATCTATAGTGTGCATTCTATATGGTACATTAGTTCATGGTGTGCAATCTATGAATGTATGTGTTGCATCCTATGTTATGAGCGATCGGGAAGCGAGCCGCAGGCGCGATCTTCTTCGTGCAATATATGTGGTGCAGACGACGCGGCCGCCAGACTGGCCACACGGCCCAGACGACGGGCGGCGACGGGGCGGCGACGGCGACGGCATAGCCGCCAGACCAGCCACACAGCCCAGTTCCTCAGAACAGAAGTAAGAACCCCATAAGTGTAAGCACGGCTTGGGTACCCTGGTCTGAATCAAGTGCGAGCCGAATGTGAAACGCATGGGAATCGAACGCGCGTTGCTGGGCAATAACATGTGGTCGAATTGCGTTCCAGATGTGAAGCATCAGGCCTGCTCGCCCCAACACGTATCATCGCTCCTGAGGACGGCATACTATTTTGGATTATTGGCGCGACACCTCGGTGCGATGTAGACTAGTGGAAGGTATTCGCGGCCTCGCTCTGCAGCGCCGAACGAGCTGGCATGGGCCAGCATGAGGAAGATAGCGCACTTGACCCCCTGATGGGGCAACTATAGATTAGCCAGCGTTGACTCCAAATAGATTAGACGACTCGAATCAAGGAACCAGAGGGATCAAGCATGCTTGGAATCCGCAACTCAGCAAGCCAGCAAGCGTGCAAGCAAGCGCGCACGCAAGCAAGCGCGCAAGCAAGCAAGCACGCAAGCCAGCTTGCAAGCAAGCAAGCAGGCACAGGCATGGGCGTAGGCATAGGAGTTGGGGGGAGGCATAACCACAGCCATAGGAATTAGGGGGGCATAGAAGGGGGGGGGGGGGGGGGGGGGGGGGCAACGGACCAATTAGTAGGGTTTGAGCTAGGACTCCTATAGGGCAAGCTTAGTTGGAGAACGAAGACCTTCCGTCACGTAATCTACTTTTGCGAATGTGTACTGAGCACCGTGGTTGCGAGGCAACGTTGCGGCCGAGGCCGCCGTTGTCTCCGAGAGGGCCGCGCGCCGTCCTCCCGAAGGCCCAGGGGCCGCACAGGAGATGGGAGGACAGTGGCGGACGCGACCTTCCCCGTGCGAGCTGCGCTGGAGGAAGACTGGAATGCGACGCGCGGCGAGAGCACAGCCGCGCGAGAGGATCGCTGCACGCCTCTCTCTGGGGAGCGAGCGTCGCAGGGGCGACACAAGCATGCACGATCAGCGCGCCGGCCTGCCACACAGTAGCCGCCTCCCGGCCTGCCGCGCACGCCCGCCGGGCACGGGGCGCCCCAAGGATCGGCAGAAGACGGCCGGGTCGACCAGCAACGAGCGCGCCGTGCACCCAGCAGCTGCGGGCACCAGGCCCCGGGTGCCCACGTCGGCCCCCCTCTCGATGGGCGGCGAGAAGAGCGCGGATGGACGTCAAGAGGCGGTCGGGCCACCCAGATCGCCGACGATATTCTCTCCTCCTCCTCCCCCTCCTCCTCCTCCTCCTCCTCCTCCTCCTCCTCATCCTCATCCTCCTCCCCCTCCCTCCTCCCCCTCCTCCTCTGGCCGACTCCTGCCGGCCGCTCTCCCAGCCGTGGCCCCGGGGGCAGCCGCCGGGCAGCACCTCGGAGCGCGGCGCGCCAGCAACGAGCGGATCGAAAGCATAGTGTAGCCATTTGGGAACACGCCCGCTAACTCGGATAACAGCAACATGTCCTGGGACCTCGACGCGTTGCCCATGCAGATCATGACCAGCAGGACATCAGAAAAGGTGGACAGGCATGTAACGAGGCCCTGCACAAAGAGCCCCCATCGCGGTCGCGCCAGAGCTGCCGCGCCACCCTTCCGGCATTGGTCCAGTGACCCGTGAAGATGGCTTCGCAGACCATGGCGCGCACGCCGAATAAGTGGCAAGCTTGCGCTAATAAGTCACCGTCTCCTCGCGCGCATCGACATGGCGAGTGGTCGTGACGATTATTTAGTCGCTCTGCGCGTCCTCCGCACTGATGGTGCTGACTGGGGTGGGCAGCTACAGGCGGTTCTCTCGGGACCACTTAGCGGTTAAGGGAAATACGTCGGCTTCCACATCGTGCAAACCGAGGATGCAACATAGCGCGAAGTTGATCCCGGCCAGCTACACTGAGCCCAGGTGACACGAGCAGCCCTTTCGAGGGCTCAAGCAGTCCACTGCAATGCCCAGGCGGTAAGTCCGAGCGACAAGATGGCACAGAGTGGTTTTTGGGTAGCTGTCTCAAGCGCCCAGGGATTCAACGCGACGTCCCAGCGGCCACTGCGAACGTCCAGGCCAGTGCCAGAGCAGGCCATGGCAGTGCTTTCTAGCGCTGCTTCAGTTGAAGATTCTAGTTTTGGCCACGGGCACAGGTAGTGCAAAGTTAAGACCCAGGACCAAGAAAAGACGACTCGATGTTCAACTTCATGGACATCATTGCATATAGCGGTGAAGAAGCAGGCTACATTCCTTGGCACTACAGGGCGGCAGCGAGGCTTCCGAAAGCAAAGGCAGCACGTACGAGGGAATCGGCAAAGGTGTGGAGGTCTCGTAGACTCAACCAATGTGAAACTCAAGTTGCGTCAGTCGTTGTTTTCCTCCGTACCATCGTACGCGCCGCAGGCGCAGGTGATGGGGGCGATGGACATTCGTCAACTGGAGCGTTGGCAAGTGTGCGAGGCAAACTCTTACGACAATCAGCGCGCTTACCCATGAGCTGAACAATGACTCCCGCAGGAGCCTGAAGACCGCCACGATGGACGGTTAGTTTCGGAGGAGGAAGAGGAGGAGGAGCAGGAGGAGGAGGAGCAATCGCCACTAAAATTATCCTGGCGAAGGGCACAACCATGTGCAGTTGTGAATATCGCATTGCGGGTGCCGCTTTCGGTGGAGCTCCCTGTGGGGCCACGAAACGCTGTGCTGGGTGGGGGTGGCGCATGCGGGCGGCACCACTGGGGCCTTCGGTGGAGCTCCCTGTGGGGCCACGAAACGCTGTACTGGGTGTGGCTGACGCATGTGGGCGGGACCACTGGGGCCGTCGGTGGAGCTCCCTGTGGGGCCACGAAACGCTGTGTTGGGTGGGGGTGGCGCATGCGGGCGGCACCACTGGGGCCTTCGGTGGAGCTCCCTGTGGGGCCACGAAATGCTGTGCTGGGGTGGGGGTGACGCATGCGGGCGGCACTACTGGGGCCTTCGGTGGAGGTCCCTGTGTGGCCACGAAACGCTGTGTTTGGTGGAGGTGCCGAAATGGGTGTGCGGGACGCATGCGAGCGGTGGCACTGGGGCCTTCGGTGGAGCTCCCTATGGGGCCACGAAACGTGTGAGGGGTGTGCCGAAATGGGTGTGGCTGACGCATGCGGGCTGGGGCCACGAAACGTGTGAGGGGTGTGCCGAATTGGATGTGGCTGACGCATGCGGGCGGCGGCACTGCGGCCTTCGGTGGAGCTCCCTATGGGGCCACGAAAGCGTGTGAGGGGTGTGCCGAATTGGGTGTGGCTGACGCATGCGGGCGGCAGCACTGGGGCCTTCGGTGGAGCTCCCTATGGGGCCACGAAACGTGTGAGGGGTGTGCCGAATTGGGTGTGGCTGACGCATGCGGGCGGCGGCACTGGGGCCTTCGGTGGAGCTCCCTATGGGGCCACGAAACGTGTGAGGGGTGACTGACGCATGCGGGCGGCGGCACTGGTGCCTTCGGTGGAGCTCCCTATGGGGCCACGAAGCGTGTGAGGGGTGTGCCGAATTGGGTGTGGCTGACGCATGCGGGGCGGCACTGGCCTTCGGTGGAGCTGGGGCCACGAAGCGTCCGCTGAACTGGGGCCTTCGGTGGAGCTCCCTATGGGTGCCGAATGGGTGTGGCTGACGCATGCGGGCGGCAACACTGGGGCCTTCGGTGGAGCTCCCTATGGGGCCACGAAACGTGTGAGGGGTGTGCCGAATTGGGTGTGGTGACGCATGCGGGCGGCAGCACTGGGGCCTTCGGTGGAGCTCCCTATGGGGCCACGAAACGTGTGAGGGGTGTGCCGAATTGGGTGTGGCTGACGCATGCGGGCGGCAGCACTGGGGCCTTCGGTGGAGCTCCCTATGGGGCCACGAAACGTGTGAGGGGTGTGCCGAATTGGGTGTGGCTGACGCATGCGGGCGGCAGCACTGGGGCCTTCGGTGGAGCTCCCTATGGGGCCACGAAACGTGTGAGGGGTGTGCCGAATTGGGTGTGGCTGACGCATGCGGGCGGCAGCACTGGGGCCTTCGGTGGAGCTCCCTATGGGGCCACGAAACGTGTGAGGGGTGTGCCGATTGGGTGTGGCTGACGCATGCGGGCGGCAGCACTGGGGCCTTCGGTGGAGCTCCCTATGGGGCCACGAAACGTGTGAGGGGTGTGCCGAATTGGGTGTGGCTGACGCATGCGGGCGGCAGCACTGGGGCCTTCGGTGGAGCTCCCTATGGGGCCACGAAACGTGTGAGAGGTGTGACGATGATGGTGATGATGACGATGATGGTGGGTGATGACGATGATGATGATGATGATGATGATGATGATGATGATGATGATGATGATGATGATGATGATGATGAAGACGATGATGATGATGATGATGATGATGATGATGATGATGATGATGATGATGATGATGATGATGATGATGATGATGATGATGATGCTGATGGGAGGAGGGAGGAGGGGGAAGAGGAGGAGAGGAGAGGAGAGGAACGCGGGGCACCGTCTCTTCAAAACGAGGACCCAACACCACAGGATGGTTGGGAAAAAGAGTTCAGCACCGAGGCAGCCCATGCACTTGAAGCAGTTGGAGCGCATCCCCCTGCGAGCACGACCCGAGGGAGCTCGCGCGCATGATATTGTTGGGTCGCGTCGGGCTCGGGCCTGAGGACTCAGAGCGCACGAGGGGCGATAGGGCGAACCAGCCGACGGCCGACCTGGCGGCGCCGCTGATTGGAGGAGATCGCAGAGGTCGACGAGGGCGAGACCAGAAGACGCCGAAGGCTAAGATGGCGGAGGAGACGCAAGCCGGAGCCCCATGGGCTGCGGGGCGCACCGACCAGCGCGTCGAGGCGAGGGCCCGAGGGCGGCGCTCGATAGCGCGTTGACGTGGAAGGGCGATGGGGAGGTCGAAGCGGAGATCGTTCCACGACCTGGGCGCGGACGGCAGCGTCGCGGAGCCGCGGGCGCGAGGGCGCGCCAGAGCCTGCAGTGCGGGGTGGAGAATGGACCCGCATGCTGGAGCGCGGCCTGGGAGCGCCAAGTCGGGCCCAAAGAATCGAGATGTAGATGGGGGGGAGGGGGCGCGGACAGTCTTCGAGGGGCGGGACTTGCGGCCGGCCATCTCGGGGCGGAAGAGCGGGTCGAGGGCTGATGGCCCCGGCGAGCCGAAAGAGGCCTCCTGGCCAGCTGTCCACGATGGCATTATTTTGCAGCGCTGCTAAGGACCAAGAGGCGCAGGCGACCTCGGGGGCGCCGCGAGGAGAAGATGTTCGGGGCCCCAGGGCAGGCGGTGGCGTCAACGGCGGCGTCAGCGGGGGGGGCTAGGGGGCGCAAGCGGCAGGCGGCGGGCAGGCAAGGGGCAGGGGGGGCGTAGCAGAAGCGGGACTAGACGCAGCCGCAGATCAACTAGACCATCGTGCAGTTGACGTTGCAGCTGGAGAACGAGGGGAGGTCCGACACGAGGGCCAACAACGTGGACTGCGCGACGCAGGCGGAGTCGGAGCTGGCGGAGACGCTGGAGCGGGCGGAGGGGGGCGCAACAAGGCGGGCGATCTGGCGCGCAAGGCCGCGACGGACAGCAGCATTCAGGCCAAGGGCAACCATAACGAATCCAGACGCGCCGTTCGCAAGCCCGCCCACCGCTGTGGATCCCGAGCGCGGCGCGAAAGGTAATGGGCGAGGATGGCAGCGTGCCCTTCTCGAAATGTTCGAGGCAAAGAGGAGCGCAGTGGAGGTGGGGGCGAGGGGCCACCTCGAAGGGGCGATAGACGCGCTGGGGGCGGGGGGCCAACGCGTCGCGGGGGCGCGGGCCAAACGGCGCTTCTCGGCGAAGGTCAAGGAGGAGGTGAAGGGCGAGCTGGCGAAGTGCAGCACGGCCCCGGCAGGAGATGCCGAGCTCGCGGACGCACTGCGACGACTGCAGGAGCAACGGGCACCGGGAGCAACGGGGGTCGCGCTGGAGGGCGCGGGCCCGCTGGCGCACGCCGCGAAGGCGGCGCGCAGCCCGGCGTTCGCGGGGGCGAGGGCGGGGCCCAAGGCGCCCGAGAAGAAGCGAGCCGAAGCGCCGCTTGTCAGGGGCGCGCGCGGGGCCCGGCTGCGCAGGCTGCGCGCCGCGCGCCGCGGCAGAGGGTTCCGGGCAAGAAGTTGCGCGGCGCAGAGGGGCCGCGGGCTTCGAGCGAGTGCGCAGTGCCACTGCGGCGCCCACTTGGGCCTGAGCAGCGGGCCCGATCGCTGCGAGCGGTTCTGCGCGAACGCGCGCGTCTCCCGGGCGCCGGAAACATGCGCGGACCCAAAGTTTGGCCGCCGGATTTTTCACGGGCACCAACACGCAGCCCATGGGGCCCCAGGGGGTCACATGGGCCCACGGGGCCGACGCAGGCTTCCCCCGTCTGAAATTCAGCCTTCAGGCTCGAGGTCACTCTGGTCGGGCATTGCTGAAAAGTACGACCTCGCACTGCTGTCACATGCAGTAGACAGGTGAACGCACAGCACCGCCCAATAATCCGGCTTACAAATGAGATCCTAAGACAATCCGCCCTTCCATCATATGCCATCGGTACAATGACAGCCATGCCCATGTTTGCGGCAGCCCTTGGCAGCGTGCTGGCGCAGCTTCTGAATCCAAGTAGGACGATCCAACCGGGTGGGCTCTCCCGAGCAGGCAGCGCCGTGGCTTGTCGCGGCTGTAACGCTACATGGGTGTTGCGTTGCTTTTTGGTGGGGGGTCGTAGAAGCTTCTTGAATGACTTCTGGGAGTCTACCTGAGGCCTCTGGGGAACCTCTTTGGGTCCCTTTCGGGATCCTCTCGGGGGATTCTGGAGGGCCGCGCGGGGGCCTATTGGGCGTCCCGGAGCCGCCCCGCGAGCGATATGCGGATCCATTGAACCATTTTTCGGGGGTGGATTGGCCTCCTACCCTGGCACGTCGATTAGCGAATTGGCCGTTTTCGGTTCGCGAGAGGGCGTCGCGGCCGTCATTTTTGTTGGTCCAGGTCCGTCGGTTTCGGTCCCAGGCCGTTTTCACTAAAGGGAGGTTTACTAAAGGGAGGTTTGTCCACGGCCGAACTTTGGGGCTATATGGGCGAACCTTGGGACCGTACTGGATCCCTCAGGAGGCTGTCTTGTGTGGTCCTCGGGCCGCCTTGGGGCGGGCCGAAAGACAAGTGGTGCGCGTGCCTTGGCCCTTGCGCGCTCAGGTCGCGAAGGGGCTGGGGCCAGGGCCACGGGTAGGCGAGGGAGGCGAAACGAACGACGACCACCACTACGAAAACACAAAGGTCCCCAGGGGCAGGGAGCGAGGGGGCATGGGGCCAGGGCCAGGGGCAGGCCAGGGGAGGGGGGACGAAACGACGACCACCTCGAAGAGTGAGCGCTCCGCGGCCAGGGGGAGCGGGCAGGAGGCCAATGGCGAGGGGCGGGGGCGAACGACGACCACCTTGAAGAGTGAGCGCTCCGGGGCCGGGGGGGGGGGCGAGGCGAGGGGGCCCTAAGGCCAGGGCCAGGAGCACGCCAGGGGGGATGGGGCGAACGGCGACCACCACCACCGCGAAAACAGAGGCTCCGGGGCCGGAGGGCGAACGGCTCAGAGGCGACGGCAGGGGCGAACAGCCCAGGGGAGAGCAATACACGTATCCAGGGGCACCGATGATCTATGTCTTCGACAAGGCTCCCGTTCGAATGCGTATAATGCCCGCCCCGGGGCCATTTGCCCTTACTGTCGCCGCCGAACGACGACCAGCACCGCGAGACTCAAGGGTTCCGAGCTTTAGAACGCAGCTGTGCAAGGTAGTTGGCTGAGCAGAGGGGTGCCACGTATCAAAGCCCGCTGGCACAACTCAGCGTCGCCATGTCCACCGCTCTTCTTTGCCTCGTGGGCTCGGCCAGAGGAGGCGGCGCTTTCAGTCGCCGCGCGGGCTCGGCCGGAGCGCTGTGATTCGCGGGCGTTTCCTGGGAAGTGCCCTGAAGGGTTCCGGGCGATCGCGGGGACGCGGCAGGTTCAGCCCCAAGGGTTCCTCCAGAGATCACCAATTCTGGCACTCCCTCTCTCGATAACGCGACCGTGACCATAGCCACTGCTCCTTCGTGTTTCCTAGATAAGATTTTAAAACATAGAATTCCGTTTTTTAACGCGTTGGGATTTGTTAATTTTGGCGGCGGCAACGGCAAACATGTTTGTACGCTCTGATTTCGGTCGCATCCACAGGACTTCTTTCGGAGGACCGTTTTGGAAAGTGCCTCGCTCTCTCGCCGCGTCCCGCAGCTGGATGCCCGTCGAGCTTTGCCTCTCGGCCAGCCCCTCGTCGTGGTTTGTGGTCGGCAGATGACGAGAAGCGGCGCGTTCCTGGATATGGCGAGGCACAGAGGGAGGAGGGCGAAAGAGCGGGGGGGGGGGGAGGATGGAGGACGGAGGTGAAAGGAGGGGAGGAAGGAAGAGCGAGGAGAAGGGTGGAGGGGGGAGGAGCGATAGGGGATCCAGAAAGAAGGGACGAGATGGAGAATGGGGAGGCTGAAGAAGGAGCCCATGGGGAAAGAGGAAGAGGAGAAGAAAGCAGAGACGAAGGTGGAGCTGGAGGGCGAGAGGGAGACAACGGAGAGAGGAGATCGACGAGAAGGGGGGGGGGATGGGGAATGCAGGGCCAAGACCTCGCCCGCTCGCGAAGCGGTCTGGGGTCGGAGCGGCTGGCCGACGCGGCGGCGCCCGCGCCAGTCCGCAGGCGCGCCTGCGCGCAGACCCGCGCCAGGTGAAGTGCAGGGGCCTGCCCACCGACGACTTCGTGAGCCTGGAGGTGGACGGCGACAGGTCGTCGGGGAGTGAGCGGGCCCCGTCTCCAGACGCCCTGGGGTCATAAAAGAAGCATGGCGGAAGTGGTTTGGCAACTGTCGGCCTCTGGGGCCCTCGCTGGACCTCGGGGCCTTGAACTAACGACCCAGGGTGAAAAACCCGTCCCAGGGAATGGGTCGAGACCTCCGGGGGTCCACGTCATGAAAAGATCATGACGTCCGGGGTCTGGGCCTGAAGCGAGGCTCCCCCATCGCTCCCTCCCGCCCGCCTCCCTCCTCCGCCCTCCGCCTTCGTATTCCTCCTCCCTCTCTGCCCGGGAGAGGGATGAGGAAGCGGGAGAGGGGGGGCTCCCTCCCCTGTTCAAGGACACGGAAACATGGATTGTGGCAGGTGGATTAGCGACGGGTCCCGTTTTCGATTGATTTTGCGAAGAGTCGCGTGCACCCGTCCTATCAATGTGGCGGACTCGCAGGGTTTCATCAATCGTGGGCAGTTTCACCACGCATCTTGCGCTGCGCATGTGTCCAGGCAACCTCCTTGTGAATGGCCGCTAAGAAGCCAGCCTAATGGTGGCTGCGTGGCCCGTTGCATTAAATGGGAGGTTTTGGCAGGGCCGCAGATGCCCACTAAGGCACGCGGGCCCCTTACCCCATCCCCCCAGCCCCGTGCCCTGACCCACCTGCCGAGCCATGCGCGCTAGCCTCCGAGCCATTGGGGCCCAGTTGTGCCGACTGCGTTCGGCGCATCACTCGAGGGCCACCCTCATCCCTTTCGCTAGTTCATGTTGCTCACCAATGCGCAAAATGCTGCGAATGATGGGCGACGGACAACATGGACTAGCGGAGCGGCCCCTGGGACCAAACAGAAAGGATTATGATGCACCCGATGGGGGCGAGGGTTCGTTTCACAGATCCATGGATACAGCCCCCTGGATCCGTTTCACTAAACCATGGAATCGCGGCCCCGTTCGCCCAGACGGCGGACGTTAGGGCAAGGGTCGGGTTGCGCAGCGCTGGTGGCTTCGCCAACGAAGCCCGCCATCGCAAGTTGGCGCGGTTTGGCGGTCGCGAATGGGCCGTGCGTAGCCTCGGTCGCAGAAGGGATTGGCAATGCCCCCGTAATCCCGCAAACCACCTCGTGCCGGTCGCAACCAATAGAAACGCAAATGCAGCGCACCTGGAAATGGACGACACCGTTGTGGCGTTCCGCCACGGGTTGGATGTGTTGACCGACTACTAAGTTTGATTATGTCCACTCCGTGCCCGCATCGCAGATCCACGGATCACTAATCCATGTTAGCGTTTGCTTGACCCGTCTTGCCTCCTCCTTCCTTCCCCCGCTCTCCTCCTCCTCCTTCTCCCATCCATTCCCATTTTCCGTATAGATAACTTCTCCCCGTTGCGCCGTTCACGCTGACGAGTGGGACGTTTGTTCTGTTTGTGTGTGTGTTGCCTTTCTTTTTTCCTCTTCCTCCAAACCAGAAATAGGGAACTCTTCCCTGTCGCGCCACCAGGCGTGTCGGTTTGGCGGTCTGGGCGTTTCCTCTGAGAGTTCCTCACCGCCTCTGGTCCTAAATCTTGAAGTGTCCAAGGGCTGCCAGGATCGAGGGCGGACCCTTTTCATCCGAGTTGGGGTTCTGGCCTCCACGCCGCGCGCAACCGTCGCCAAAGACTGCAACAGGACCAAGAAGGGACGGCGCACCCTCTTCAAATTGGGCTCCCGCCTTAGCGCTGCGCACAGTGCTTTAACAACCTGCAGCAGCTGCAAAGTCCCAGTGTTTTTTTCAGAACGGGGCTCTCTCGTTAGCGCCGCGCACATTCGTCTTAAAAGCTTGCGTTAGCTGGGCTTTTCAAGATAGGGCTCTCGCTGAAGACTTCTTCGGAGTGAGCGAGGGGCGGTTCGACACTATGTAACAGCTGCGCGGATGGGGACGGCTCTTTTTTCAAAACGAGCTCGCGCTGGACAGATCTTCGAAGGTGACGACCCTATTTCTCGCATTCCGGACAGTTCGCGAAAGCGATGCAAGGCAGTTCACGCGCGGGGTCCGTCTCTTCTGCCTTATCCATCTTCCCTATCCACCTCCCCCTCTCCCATTCACAACCCCTCTCTATCCCCAAACTGATCTGCATGTCGGTTGCACGCCTAGGCGGCCTGTTCCGCATTGCCATACTCTGCTCCCCATCAAACTGGCACGGGACTAACTTGCCTTTATGATTACCCCCACTCACTCTGTCAGCGTGGCCATTTGGACCACCTTGTAGGGGTAAAACAACACAACTTCTGTGCAGCCGCGGTGGCGATACGTTTCCAAGGGAATTCGTATCAGTGATTTTCTTTGCTCCTGCCCGAGTCTGGGGACATTGCCGATTTTCGAGGACATGGCTCAGCTGGCTGGTTCTTTTGGCTTCCTTCCTCCTCCTCCTCGGCCGTTCGCCCGTCGTCACATGTAACTACTTTTGCTTGCGCAGGTGGCGCCTACAGTGGGCAGTAACGTAAATGGGTGTGGCCCGCATCTCTGGCCAGAGTGTTGGCCACGTTCGCAGGTCAGCCTTGTGACGAACGTGGCAGGTGCCGGCACGCTTGGCGTGGCGACTTGCGGAAAAACAATGATTACCCCCTCTCGCTCTACCTCGCCCTTGTTTGACTCATGTGTCTCATATCCTTCCTCAATATCTCTTCCCATGCCTTGAAAGCCACCTCTCGATCGACCTTGTCCCCCCTCATTCTTGGCATAGTGCTGCCCTGTCGGACGAGGCGCGGCATTTTTCTGTTGGCAGGGGTCAGCTCTACTAAAGGTCTCATTTGCCTTACATTGCCATCCTCCTTGCTTGCCTGCGTTCCGAGAGAATGCTTGTACGTGGTATTCGGCGGATCAGGGCCAGGAATAGTTATTTAGCGTTGCATCGAAAGGGGAGGATCAACAGTGCCAAGTCGTGGAAGTGGATGACTTGGCAGGAGCCCGCTTGACCATGCGTACACGAGTTGCGACTCGGCTGATCCTGTTCAGGCTCGTTTGGTGTTGCGAAGGCTCTCGCATGCGGATTGGCTAGCGTGCGCACGCTCATACATTACACCGTCGTGCACGAGCACGCCACGCTACCGAAAAATGTAAGCCGGCACGAAGTAATGCATTGATGCGAGCGCATGTGAATCTAGAATTATTTATGGTAGTTTTTACAACTGAATGCTGAGCGGAGACGGGGAACCGGACGAAACCTTGTAAAGTACAGTCGTCTGGGAGCAACGCAGAAACCGACCATTTTCGACTGAACAGGGTCGGTTTTTCTGCCAGCGAGAACACTACAGACGTCATTGGCTTGCATACGTACTCATATTTGTGCTCAAAGTTTTGTGGGGGCCCCGGCTCCCATGGAGGTCTGCTCCTCGAGATTACCCGGGGCATCTCAACCGCCCTCGCCGTGCGGTCTTCGGCGGTCCCCTGTCCAGACTGCACCTGCAATTGCGCGCCTGCGCTTGCCTGCTCTGAGGGCGCGCTCCCGCGGGAGTTCGGGCAGGAGACGGGCTGGGAGTGGCCCGGGCCCTGGGCCTGCTTCTCTTTGATCGGCCTCGGCGCGGTCGCCGGGGCCTCGGCGGTGCTGCTGGCACAGCGCTGGCCGGCGCCTGCCCCCGCAGCGGCGCCGGCACGGGCAGCGGGCCCGGCCGAGCTCGCGGACCCCTCGTCCGCCCGAGCGGACTTGCTGCAGGAGGCGCGCGCGCAGCTGGCGGAGGTTGCAGCACGCCGCGCCGCGGCCCGCCAGGCCTGACGCCATGGCGGCTCCACACCAGCTCATCGCGGCGGGCTTGGCCGAGGGCGACTTCCTGGCTGTCCGATACAGAGTGGGTGGCCGGCGCCTTTGGCACCGCCGCCTGGTAGTGGCGCTCGTGCCCGGCGGGACCACCGTTGCGGGCATCATGACTCCCGACCTCGATGAGTACGACGAGGACGTGGCCGACCAGGCGAATATCGCAGAGTGGACGATGCTCCCGCTTGGCACGATCGGGCTTGCTGCTCCGGCTATGGGCAACGACGACGTTACGACTTCAGGCACATCCCGTTGCAGGCCGCGGTGGATGCAGCTCGAACCGCAGCATACGCGAGAAGGGGGGCGGTGCCGGTCGGGCCCATCGTGGTCAACCTCGCCGGGCGCGTGGGGGCCAGCGCTCCTGTGGGCGCTGCACCCCCTGCGGCTGGCGGCGCGGCGGCTGCGGCGGCTGGGGGCCCTGGCGGCGGCGGCGGCCTCGCGGGGCTGGTGGCGGCCCTTGGCGGCCCGGCGGGCGGCCCGGCCGTTGCGGCGGCCGCCCCAGTGGCCCTGGTGCCCGTGGCAGCGCCCGCCGCCCCTGCCGCCGGCGCGGGCGCCCCGCCAGCCGGGCCTGGGGCCGCGGCGGCCATCCCTGGCGCGCCCGTCGCGCCCGCCGCCCTGGCAGCGCCCGGCGCGCCCGCGGCCGCGGCTGCAGCTCCCGCGGCGGGCGCCCCGGCGGCCCCGGCTGTGGCTGGACCTGGCGGCGACGCCCGGATCTTCGGCGTGGTGGTCGATGCGCGCGGGGTCCGTCGTGTGGACTTCCGCACCGCAGTCACCCGGATGACCGAGCTCCCCTGGCCAGACTGGCCCGTGCGAGGGCCGCGCACGTTGCGGTGGGTGGCAGAGTTCATGGCGCAGCGGAGCGGCACGCCGACGGCGCATCATCAGAGGTGGCTGGCGGAGACGGGCCTTGACCCCGCCGATCCAGGAGTGGAGATCCACCAGACGGGCTGCGTCGTCCTCGAGACGGCCATTACCTACGACCAGGAACACGCCACGAACCTCGCCCACCTCGAGCTCGTCGCCCGCTCGATCCAGGTGCAGGAAGAGAAGTACCGGTTTCTCGTTGAGCCCGACGATGCCTCGGCTGCTGACAGGTCGGCCATGATGGGGACGTCGCAGCTCGCGGGCTCTGTGTGTGTCTGCCCCGTCCTTCGCGACTATCTCGCATCGGAGTCGCAGAAAGAGATGGCAGTTGCGAAGGAGCGGAGGAAGGCGCGCGAGGAGCGCGCCCTCGCCGGCGGCCAGCCTGGCGGCGGGCGCGGAGGGGGCGGCAGGGGCCGCGGCGGCCGGCGGGGCAGAGGCTCCGGTGCCGCAGGCGGCGATGCCTAGCTTGCCGGAGGGCGGTCGGCCTGGCCCGCCGCCGCCCTGGCTCCTCCAGGCCTCCGCGGGCGCCAACAGCGCTGCCCGCACTTCGGGCGAGGCCGGGCCCCCTTCGCGTTAAGACGGTCGCCAGCGCAACCTCTCCCCGCTGCCGCAGCTCACAGCAGCCGACGCGGCGCCTGGCCCCTCTCGCACCCGGCGGCGCGCTCGGGCGGGCCACGCCCTCGGGCACGCGCTCGACCGGGCCAGCGCTGCCGTGCATGCACTGAATTACCTATGCGGTGACAAGTCCTCGCCCGAGTCGGCCGTTCCGACAGCTGGGCAGCGCTGCGCCGTCAGTCACATCTGGGACACCATTGCCGCCCTCGGCCCCGAGCCGGACGAGTACCGCGACGACGTGTCCGACCCCAACGGGGCCCTCCGTGAGCTCCTTGCTGGGTCCGCGCTGTACCCTGACGGCAGCGGGCCCACCGCTCCCCACGTGCCAGACCTCGTCTCTTGGCCCGATGTGTCCCGGCCCCCAGCGCCGCTCCTTGGGCTGCTTGGAGAGCGGGGCGCCGCCGCGCTGCAGGAGTGGAGGTGCCATATGCTTCGAGACGCGGAGGAGGCGCGTCAGCTTCGGGCTGAGGCTTGTCCGCGCGGGCCCTACACGGACCCCGCCCTCGTTCAGTCGCCCGCAGAGTATGCCAAGCTCCTGGGCGCGATGGCTGAGCGCCACATGCTCACCTTGTCTCCCGCCCGGGGGCGGCGGGGCAACATGGGAATATTTGTTGTACCTAAAAAGAATGGGAAGTTGAGGGTCATCTTCGACACGCGGGTGGCCAACTGCTCGTTCATCGAGGCCCCGAGGACCCAGCTGCCGTCTGCCTCGGCCTGGGGCCGCCTCGAGGCTGGCGACGTTCGCCTCAGCATCGGCTCCGCCGACCTGGACGTCGCTTTCTACCACATGCAGGTGCCTTCTGGGATGGAGGAGTTCTTCACCTTGCCTCCGATCCCTGCAAAGTATTTGATGCCCTTCGGATGCGTGGAGGCCGGCACGAGGGGTGACGACCTCCTGCTCCCGCAAGTGGCGGTGCTCCCGATGGGCTTCAGCTGGGCCCTGCACCTGTGCCAGACGGTGCTGCAGACATCCCTGTGCCGAGCCGGCTTCTCGCCCGAGAACCTGATCCTTGACGGCCATGGCGGCTGCCAGCTCTCTGGCGACCCATCCTCGGTCGTGGGCGCCGGCTACGTGGACAACTACTTCGTCCTTGGCGGCTCCCCAAAGCACGTGAGCGAGCAGCTGCAGGCTATCACCGACGACCTCCAACGGCATGGGCTCGCAGTTCATGACGTCGAGGAGCCCTCCCAGGACTGCGACTTCCTGGGGCTGTCGCTGCGCGAGGGGCGCTGGCTCAGCCTTCGGACTCGCAACATCTGGCGCCTCCGCGCGGCCATCCGCGGCGCCCTGCGCCGCCAGCTGATCAGCGGGTTCCTGTTGCGGGTGCTCACCGGCCACATCACGTGGGCCCTTCTGCTCCGACGAGAGATGCTGTGCGTGCCGGGGGCGACCTACGCATCCATTCAGGCCACCGGGCCCACGGCGGCGCCCCTGTGGCCTGCGGCGCGACAGGAGCTCCAGCTAATTCACGACCTGCTGCCCCTTTGCGCGGCCGACCTGGGCGCCCCCTGGCGCGGGCGCGTCGCGTGTACAGACGCCTCTCCGTGGGGACTGGGCGTCGTTGCTCGCCGCGCCCCAAAGGACCTCGTGGGCGCCACAGGCCGAGTTGCTGAAAAGTGGAGGCATAAAGTCGAGGGAGGAGCGCAGGCGAGAGCTCGCACTGTAGGAGTGTCGGAGGAGACTGACGCCGCCGCCGACCTCGGCTACCCCCTCTCGTTCGACAGCTCGGACAACGCGAACGTCGGTCACGGGGGGAAGGGGGCGCAGGACGAGCTGGGGCGTTCGGTGCTCGATCCTCGCCCGCCCGTCGACTTCGAGGAGGTCCCCGCGCACTTCATTCGGGAGTCGGCCTGGGGCTTCGCCGCGGTCTTCGTCGACGGTCAGGCCAACATCTTGGCCTTGGAGTGGGAGGCTCTCGTTCTTGGGTATCGCAATCTGTTGCGGTCCACGTCATCGTTCGGGTCCCGGTTCCTCGTCCTCTCCGACAACCTGCCCTTGGTCCTGTCGGTCGGGAAGGGCCGGGCTCGCAGCAGGCACCTCCAGAGCACCCTTCGCAAGATCTGCGCGCTCTCCGTGGCCACTGGCTCAACCCTGTCTGTCAGGTGGATCCCGTCGGAGGCGAATCCCGCCGACGGGCGCAGTCGCGGGCGCGCTGGCTGGTTCTCCGGCAGTCGGCCGGCGCCGGCACTGCCGGGCGTGGGGCCGCTGGATCACGCGGCTGCACTGGTTGCTGGCGCTCCTCCTCCGGGCCGCGCTGGCTGGGAGGAAGCAGGCGGCTCCGACGGCGTCGGCGCTGAGGGGCGAGCGAGCCCGCCGCGCGCAGGAGCTTGCAGCTGCTGCGGCGCCGGTCCTGGGGCTCTCGCTGCTGGAGCGGCTGGCGGTGCGGCCCTCGACCGAGAAGCTCTACCGGGGGGCGCTGTCGGCCTTCGCGAGCATCTGCGCAAGGCACCGCCTGGACTGGACGGACCATGCCAGCCTCGACTCGGTCCTCGCGCAGTACATGGACAGCGAGTTCCTCCTCGGCGGCGGCGGGAACATGGGGAACGTGCTCCCGCGGCGGTCGCCCACTTTCTCGGCTCGCTCCACAAGCGAGCGGCGACGCAGCTGCCGAGGGCGCACCGCGCGGCTGCAGCCTGGGCCCGGCGGGCGCCGGGCCGCGCGCGCCTCCCGCTGCCGCGGCGAGTCGTGTTTGCCATCGCGGGCGTCCTCCTGCGCGACGGGCACTCCCGGCTCGCCATCTGCATCCTCGTCATGTTTGCGTGCTACCTCAGGCCCGGGGAGGCGGCGAAGCTGCGCGGGCGCCACTTGATAGCTCCTTCTGCCTCCGCGGGGACGCTCTACCAGTACTTCGGGCTGCTCCTGCACGAGAGCGGCAAGGACCCAGGCAAGACGGGCGTGAACGACGAGAGCATCCTCTTCGACCGCGAGGGCTGGCTCGCCCCCCTGCTGGCGGCCTTGAAGCTCAGCACCCTGCCCGACCAGCCGTTGTGGGGGGAGGCGATCGCGCAGCTGCCGAAGCTCTTCGACAGCGCCTGCCGGGAGCTGTCGCTGGAACGCCTCCGACCACACTTATACAGCTTGCGTCGCGGCGGAGCCTCGGACGACATGCTGTCGCAACGGAGGTCTCTGCCAGAGATTCATTTCGTCGAGGACAATTTGATGGCGCTCGTCGAGGGCTCCCCCCCCACGCTGCTGGCGACTGGCCGCGTGCCGGCCGGGGCCGCCGGCCTGCTCGGAGCTCAGGCCGTCGCCCCCCAGCGGGCGCGGAAGCGGCCGGCGGCGGCGCGGCGACGGCCACTGGCGGCGCGGGCGCCGGCGCGGCGGCTGGCGGCCCGGACGCCATCAGGCGGCACCTGCGGCGGCAGTGCCAGCGCGCGGCGGCCCCAGGGCGCCGGCTGCGTCGTCGGCCCGTGCTGGAGCTGTTCTGCGGCGCCGGCACGATAGCTCGTGCGATGGTGGCGCTGGGCTTCGCCGCCTTCGGGCTCGACTGGAGCCGCGGCCCTCTGGAGGACCACGTTGCGGCGACATTCCAGACCGTCGTCCTTGGCTGGATCCAGTCCCGAGCGGTGGGCGCCGTTTGGCTCGGCACGCCGTGCACGAGCTGGACGAGGGCGCTCCGGCGGCCGCTGAGGTCCGCGCTCCACCCGCTCGGTCTTCCTGATCTGAATGCCCATGAGCAGGCCAGGGTAGGCGCTGGCAACGCTACGTACCGCTTTACGCTCAGAGTGATTCGCGCATGCATTGCAGCTCGAGTGCCCGTATACTTAGAGAATCCACAGACCTCACTCATTTGGTCTGGCCCTGGGCTGGCTCGTCTGTGTAAGTCGCCCTCTTGTCGCAAGTCTGTGTTGCATCAGTGCCAGTACGGCGCGCTTTGCAGAAAAGCCACCACCATCTGTTCGCGGGGTGCCGCCGCATCGCCGTTGCTCGAAAAGATATGTTCTGGTCCCCGAAGGTTTTGCAGTAGGACTGGCAACAGGCACCTCGTTCTTGAAGGGAACGACGAGCAGGGTCGAAAGCGCACCGCGCTCGCTGCTGAGTACCCCTCCCAGCTCGCCGCTGCCGCTGCCCAGTGCATCGTTCAGTCCCTTTCTCTGCAGCCCGGGCAGGCCCTCCATTCGCTCGCCATGAAAATGATTAGTTAATGCGGCCTTCGGCCAGACAAACCTTCGGGATCGGGTGGGGGCCACCAAAGTGGGTCTCTGCTGCTGCTGGTGCCCGCGTCCGCCGTCTCATCTGCAGTTGCACGATTGCATCGCATCGCCTGGCCCTTTCCTGTCCCAAAAGAATGATGGCCTCGACGGCGTCGCGAGCTGGTAGTTTTTACAACTGAATGCTGAGCGGAGACGGGGAACCGGACGAAACCTTGTAAAGTACAGTCGTCTGGGAGCAACGCAGAAACCTACCATTTTCGACTGAAAAGGGTCCGTTTTTCTGCCGGCGAGAACACTACAGACGTCATTGGCTCGCATACGTACTCATATTTGTGCTCAAAGTTTTCCCATTGCCATCCCGCTTCGCCTACTTTGAACTGATCTGTCAGGGGTGGGGGCCACCAAAGTGGTGGGTCTCTGCTGCTGCTGGTGCCCGCGTCCGCCGTCTCATCTGCAGTTGCACGATTGCATCGCATCGCCTGGCCCTTTCCTGTCCCAAAAGAATGATGGCCTCGACGGCGTCGCGAGCTATGTATCAGAGTGAGGGGGCCGAACGGTCATGTACTGCCCCTGGGCGCGTGGCTGAAGTGAGGTTATGCGGTGCGCATTGTTGTTGTTGTTGTTGGTGGTGGTGGTGGTGGTGGTGGTTGTGTTGTTGTTGTTGTTGTTAGTGGTGGTGGTGGTGGTGG